CTGTGACTTTTTAAAGCATTCTTCCCATGCAAGATGAACTAAACACAATTGTCCTTTTGGGGTTAGTCTGATCACTGAGGCTCCTTAATATTAATTAAAAGAAAGGAGTGTTATTCCTCTCCTAGCAATGTCTCATCTTTCCTTTTTCCTGCAAAAGTAGCAGAGCAGAAGCTGGATCTGTTTGGTATTGAGCAAGTTCTGGTGTTGGAGGGTTTTTTTCAGTGCTTTGGTAGGTCATTGTTCAGAAATATGCCAATGTTTTCTTGCATTGCTGAGAAAAAGAAATAACAGACTGGATAATTTTTAGCTTTCTGTTTTTTTCTAAAAATGTAATGTCATAACTCTTCCATTTCCATGTTTTCTACTTCCTGTTATGTCTAAAAGAATGAGTCAGAGAAATGGAAACAGAGCTGCTGTGAATAATTTAAAAGTGGTCTGAGAATAGCTAACCATTACTTCTGGTGATGTTGCTTGTGATGGTTACACAATGATAAGATTATCAAAAGGACTGTGGGAGACAGAAAAATGGAAAGGATGCATTAAGTCATGTAGTCATTTTTGCTACTGTGGAATTATGCCTCACATTAGTTTTACTAATGGCTTCTCTGGACACCTTTAAAATTTGGAGGAAATGGATTTCCAGTATTTCTTTAACATTATCCCTATACCTTTTGCTTACATGAAAAGATTTTTTCCTTATTATTGTTTTATCCTATTATTATCCTAGAGCTGGTTTGTTCTGCTGAAGAGTCTCCAGGTTAAAACAGTGATCGTTCCCTTTTCCCTTCATACAAGGGATGAAAAATATCACACTTCAGGTTTGTTGTGTAACAAAAAAAGTTACAATACGTTTTCATGAAAATGACAGCAGTTCATAAAGGTGAGTGAACTTACTGAGCAATTGTCTTTACTTCTTTTCTTTCTCACCTCTTCTGCCTTGGCTTCATCCTTCCCACCACTGAAAATAAAGTAGGGTCCATAGCCCAGAGACTAAAACAATTTCTCTTTTCCTATGGAAGTAGAATGTCACCATTCTTGTCCCAAATACTGTCTAAATAGCAAAAATATAAGATAAATTTAATGGGGTTTTTTTTTGTCTTCTGTAGTCCTTAAGGGCTTGTGAAACCTCGATTCATTAAAAGTTTGATAACAAGCCTGAGGATTGGACAGAATTTACTCCTTCATACTTGTTTTAGAAAACCAACATCATAAAAAGCAATTAAAAAGAAATTTATTCTAATTTGGTAACTGATTTAACTTTTTTTTTTTCAAACTTTGTCTTTGCCATAAACCACCAAATGCTGAGGAACCGTAAAGATCAAGTTTTATCAGGATGGGAGGATAAGGCTTTCCAGACTGAAATTTCAGAAAATAACTACCACCTCAGAACTAAGCTTTCCTGTTTGCTTTTCTCCTGTTAACACTGTTTTCATAAGAGATTTTAATCCTTAACTCTGACAGAGAAAAGGTCTGGAATTAGAGATATAAATGGCTTAGGGATACAGATAAGCATTGGGAAATTTTTTCTTCTGTGTTGCCTGCCAAAAGAGAGCACTGGATATTTCCCATTTGGCTTCCCTTTAATTAGTTGATTTCATTGTAACTACACAATTACCTATCTATTAGTATTGCTTAAGCCCTGCTAATTTTCAGGAAAAGTCTACCTGTGGAAAGGAATCTCTTTTTCTGGCTCTGCACTGAGCCCTTTTCTGTGGCTCTGAGCTGCTGCAGCGCAGGGACGTGGCAGGAGGGGACCTGCCAGGGTGACCCCCGAGCTGTGTGTGTTTGCCCAGTGACACAAACAGGGACACAAATGTGCTGTCCTGGCTGGCTGCAGGCTGAGCCAGCTCAGGGCAGCTCTCTGCTCCTCGGAGCATTGAGGAGCAGCCAAGACATTTCCTCAGCCCTGAGCAGCATCAGGAACATCTCCTGCGCCGGCACGTGGGACAAAAATCATCCCTTTCGCTTGAGGATTGAAATCCCTCAGGTTTCATCAGTTCCACGTTTCTACCCAGTGCTGAACTGATCTTTTATCACCCCTCTTGCTGTTCCAACGGAAAAAGCAGCTGGGCAGCCTCCCCTTCTTCACAGCCTGTTGAGCCCGTGTCTAATGGGCAAATATAAACTTGGAATGATGCCTTGGAAATCCCTCTAAGTTTCTCTTAGAGGTCGAGTAGTTACAATCCCCTGAAGTGGTCTGTAATTTAACCCTAACAGCTGCTGATTTTCGGCTGGCTTCTCTCTTTATCCTCCTCTGGACTATTTTTCCTCATGGATTCAAGTAAAAGCTTTAAATCTTGGATAGAATTGGCCATTTGTTGTTGCTGCTGGATCTTTCAGCAGGATGAAATCTACCTCAGGGAAAGACATAGTCACCTCTCACTAAAGTTTTCTGATGTTGTTCTCTCCAAGAAATTACCTCTATTTGGGTTTGACTTCAGCAAGTTTCAATTATAGAAGTTAAAATGCTTCCAGTTTGGATGGTTCTCTGCTTTTGGGGTTGAGACTGGCAGACCAGACAGGACAAAAGGTTTATGAAGCAGCTACCAAAGTGGGCTCTTGGTTCTGTCTGTGTTGAGGGACAAAAGGTAAGTTTTCCTTTGGAAGTGCTGTGTTCTTTTATGTGGACTGGATATTTTCTCCTTTCTTGGTTAGGAGATGCCATTGGAATATTAATATCTGTGTGACTTTTTTCTCAATTAAAAATTCTGATAAAAACCTTAGGATCTAAACAGGCTTTTACACATTGAGATGTTCCTCCTAGACAATAATTTTGTAATTAAAATGCTGCCCATACCAAAATTTCCATATTTGATTCTACCAAGCACATAGATTTTCATTCTTATTTGAGATTTGAGGGGTCAAAGTTTTACCCCTTTCAATGCCTCATTTTCAGTGCTGTGCTGTCAGCTTAATTTAAAGCAAAGCAAACCGATGAAACCACAGATTGAGGGGTCACAGCAAAAAAGAAATAAAAATAAATAAATCAATATCTTCAATATTCAAGATGGTTTTCATAACTTCCTACAGTTATGAAAGTAGAACTAAGGAGTTCTACTCCTTCCTGCTCCCTCCTTACTTCCAAAGGATAACAGATTGTTTCTTATTTTAGGTAATGTTACAGATAGCAATTTAAGGAATGCAGAGCTTGGCCAAAACTGACCCCCTTGGAGCTCAGGTCTTGTCCAGCAGTGGAGGAAAAGGCTCCTTGACTATACCTACAAGCAGCCTCTCAGCTTTTTGGGGATGTTTAAGTAATCACCAAGTGGTGGAACCAAGATATTTGGACTTTTCCTTCTTGTTAGTGAACACTTACAGAGCAATTACGTGGTTAACGCACATTGAGTCTGTGTTTTTATTTTGAAACACTTACAAATGTAATCTGAAATACTTGTGTTTTAGCTGGAGGGGGTAGGGAGGAATATATAGTTGTTTCATATCCATGGCAACCCCTATTTTTTTATTACTCGTTAAAAAGGAAATTTGCAATTCTTGAACCTCTTGTAAAAAAATGATTGAAACAAAGGCTCTTTGTTTTGTATCAAAAATATATTCTGCTTATTACAACATTGAAGTAGTTCTTTCTTTTAAAATAGAGTAAAAAGAAAAATTATTATGGAAGATGAAATACTTTAAAGCAGTATCTTTCTCGTTTCAATTCAACAGCATTAAATATTTCAGTGCTGTGTAACTCCCAGTATATTTATTTTTTATGCTGGGGAAGTGAGGCCTATCCCTTTTTAGAGAATCAGTTGTAAACTTTGGTTTGCTTCCAACTTCCGATAAAATCCTGCTTTTTCTTTTTTATTTTATTATTTTTTTACCTCTGAGATACATGTCCCAGATATTAACTGCTCTGTATATACCTTATTCACATTTCTCAGGTGAAACCAATGTAGTGTTTCAGCCCTAGATGAAGCTGATTTTATGGAAGGTAAGGAATGTTTCATGTTTTGGGTTTGTTTGCTTTTGTTTGGTTGGGTTTTGTTATGTTTTTTTGGGGGGGGGTTGGAAAGAGAGGAATTATTATATATTAGAAAAATAAATCAAATCCTGTTGTAGTCAAGCACCAGAACAAGGTTCTTTTTCATGTTGGCTCAATACTCAAAATATGGAATTAATCAGAGCAATGCTCTTTGAGTAAGATTGGATTTACATCAAATTTAGAAAGAGCAGGAGATGAAAGGGACAATGTTAGTTGTAGCCTCTGTTATTACCAGGATACTTTCAGGGTATGTCTGAATTGGGAATAATCTGGGTTTATGGTCTGCAGCAGCATCCTCAGCATAAAAAAGCTGCTCCAAGCTGCCTTTCCTGGTGCCCTGACTCCAGGCTGAGCTCAGGGGTTTAATTTCCATCAGCCTTGGCACCTTTGGCATGAAGAATGATTCCAAAGCATGGCCCAGGCACTGCTCCACCTGTGGAAACGTGACCCATCTCACCCTGGGAGCTGCTGAAGGAACCATGCTCCAAAGACTGGCATTTGCTGTGCTACACTGTGCTTCTCTCCTGAAGGGAAGGGACAGATGGGGGGTCAAAGAGAGGATGCACAGTGGGTGCTTTGAGAAAAGAAAACATAAATTTCTTCTGTTTAATGGATTCCTGTCTTCTATGGCACAGGGAGTGGCTGGGCTGAGCCTATATAGGTTAAAGGGTTTGCTCTTACATGGAATCCTTTTGTAAGGTGTTGTAAGCAGCAGTAAAATTCTGCCTTTTTTTTTTTTTTATAAGAAAATGTGGGTTTTTTTTGTAAACTGAACAGGTTTGACAGAAACATTTGGGTTATGCTTAACACTCCTTTTGCTCTGTGTTGGGCTCTTTTGGTTTGGAGTGACTGCTGATGGAAAGCTCCTGGAGGAAAGCAGAATCAGCTGCCCAGGGAGCTGCTGTGCAGGCACTCTGAGCCAAGGGAAGGTCGGAGGGGCTGCAGGTGTGGTGGGGATGGTGCCACTGGAGTGGTCATGAGTGAGGCAAGCCCAGCCAGCCCAGCCAGGGACAGCCCAGCTGCATCCAGAGGGTCAGGAACAAGAGCAGCTGAGGGAGTCTTCAAATGAGCAGCTCCAAGGCAGCAAGTGGAGCCCAGCCTGGAGGGATGCAGGAGGTAAGGAAATATTCATATTCATTTAATACTGAAAAAAGAGTGCAGTCACAGTTACTTTAATATTTGATGAAACTGGTCTTGAAGCTTTGCTGTCCTTCCTACTGTGGAGTGGCTTTTGTATCATCCAAGTTTTTGTTTTTTAGGCTCATTGCTGGAAGGTATCTGAGAGAGGGGCTTGAGACTGTGAGGTACAAATTCTTATAAATGTCTAGCCACTTGTTCAGTTTTTGACAGCTGAGAGCTGAAAATTAGGATTTACACATCGTTGAGAATAAAAGTTACAGCAGATTCAGCCCTGTTCTGTTTATGTATTCCGTAAGGAGAGCTTGTGTGATCTGTACTTTATATCTGTAATTAGTTGTGTGATGCATTAATCATTGGGGTTCAAAGAGCCAATTGTATCTATTCTTCCCAAATACCAGTATTTGGTGCAGTGCAAGGGGAGGAGAACTTTTTCTTTCAGAATCTCTGAAGTTCTTGAAATTCAGGATATTTTCTTTGGGTCAATTGATTATTGACATCAGAAATTCCTGTTTCTCAGATGGGGAACTGGAACAAGGCTTGCTTGGTGAGAACAAAGGCTGTTCTATTACAGTGGATTATTACACTTGCAAACCTAATTATCCCCTCTGGGACTCAGCACAGGCCTAATGCAGCCTGGATTATGGAGGCAGGTTCTTACTTTCAACTTTGTTCAATAGATTTCTGACAAGCTGGGTCTTACAGATGATTAAATTTCACTACAATGATTAGAGAGCTTTCTGCAAAGGAATCACTGGAATTTTTGGAGGCTGGAATGGGACAGCTCTTCTCTTTCACTCTGATGTTTTCTTGGGCTTTTCCCTCCACCTTTTATTTTTATTCAGAGGGAAAAAGTAGGATTTTCTTTTCAAGCAGAGTGATCCTTCAGGTCTGGCATGAGAGGAGTGATTGATGTCCTGGGTACCTACAGACTGTATAAGGCTTGTGTTTGAGGAATTAAATTGTCATAAATTAGTGGTGACTGAGCAATATTATTGCCATATCTAGAATTAACTTGATGGACAGCTGAATGTCGCTGAATGTGTCCCCAAGGTGGGTTCTGGAGCTCCTGTGATAAAGTCACTTCATCCAGATTTAGGTTTGCACTAGATGATTGTTGCTAATGCTTATAAAGGATGAAAGTGTACCTAATTTCCCAATATTAGAGAACAATAAATAAAAAAAGGGATTTTATTGAAATCTAAATCCTAAGCACCTCCAAAACTTACTTCTGAAGTATTAACAGTGTTAATGTGTCCTTTTTTCAGGCTCTACTTGCCACTAAACGCATGTTTTTATAACCCTAAGTCTACCTACGTATCAAAATTATCATGATTTTTAACATACTCTGCACTTACATTGCCTCATTCTTGTAATGAAGGTAGGAGCACTCGAACTTAAACCTGCAAACACCAATACTGGAAAATTTGTGAGGGTTTGTCTTACAGAATGGCAAGATACTTAATCATGAGCATCTTCATATAGGAGCCTTTCTTGTGGACTTTCTTAGGTAGATTTCCCTGTATCCTTTTGTTCCTTAAGAAGGGTTTTAATAATAATTTGTAATACTATTCTATTTTCTCTGAAATGTAAATTGCTGTCATTTCTTTGAGACAGACATCTCAAAAAAAATAAATAAAAAGAAAAGAAACTGGCCTGTAGATTAAGGAGTTATTGGGAGGAAGAGGAAAATGAGGTGGCTGGGGTTTTTTTAAGCCTTATTTCTGTATGAAACTAGGCTAAAATATCTTTCCTTAAATTTGTGATGCTGTCCATGAGTGTTTTCTACACTGAAAGATGAAAAAAGATCCACAGCCTTACAAACAGCTATTAGACAGTCACAATTTTTTTTTGTTGCCTGTAAATAAATCATTCAGGTAATAATTTACTGAACAGTAAGGATTCATTATGCATAAAACTGATTAAAAAATTGAATTGAAATATCATACATTAATAAGGTCATTTTTAAATGTTGTTTGATGCTGCTAAGAATGTAATGATCAGTACACTGTGAATGTTATAAATATGTAGTTTGGACACAAATGTTGGTTGTCTGAGTGTGTTGTGCTCTCTGTGGGGCTGTATATTGAAAAATCACTGTTGGTAGGGAAAGAAAGACCCAGGAAAAGAGCTGAGAGTTCTGACTGCACTGCTCCTGGTACCATCTGTGGCTATGGATTATTGGCACAACTGAGTGATTTAGGAAAGGGCTTTATGCAACATGGAAAAGGTGTTTGAATCCTTAGGAGCCTCCTGAAAATAGAAACCAAAACAAACCAATCTAAGGACAATGCAAACAAACTCCAGCCAAGCTGACTTTTCTTCTTCTTCTTCCATGAAAAGTTGTGGGTGCCTCCTGTGTGTATCCTCTACCCCTATTTGGTGTTCATTCACATCAGAATTCCTGAGACTCTCCCTATTTCTGTGCTAGAGAAAGAAAACTACCAAATATTTTGCCTTCTGCTTACTGGTAATGAACTGATGAGTGAGACTGATTCTTTCAGAGAAATATTTTGAAATATTTCTGAAGGCTTGTATAGGATGGAAGGCTGCTCTTGGCATGGAGGTGTAAGGAATTAGAGGAGACCAAGGTTTGCAATAACTTTTATTGGCCCAGCTGGTAAAGGAAGGTGAATTTTAGAGCACATAAGGCCTCAGAGTCTGAAATGGAAACAGGGGGGTTCAAAGCTAAATACAAGTGGAGAGAGATTGCTGAGTTTGCCTGAGCTTTACAGAAAATATTCCATAGGTAGGATCCCTGCTGGATGGCAGCCTTGGTGCTCAAGTGCACAGCAAGAGATTTGACTCCAGAGCTGTTATCTGTTAAATTTGTTCCTCAAAAGAAACTAAAAAAGGTTTAATTTCTGTTTTGATGTGGAGCAAGAAAATATGTGCAAGGATGTTTTTCATACTCTCCCACTTAATAGCCATGTTACACTATTTTTCCTCATGAGAGTTTGTGTAACTCAGACTAAAATGCACTGAATCTGTTCCTGTAAAACTGTTTAGTATTTGGACTTCATCTTTTGCTTTTGTGACTGTTTTTTTGTGTTTAAGATCAGAATAAGTACATTCATACTGCAGAAAGATTTTTATTTTTTTTGAAAAATATAAATGTATGTGTTGTGGTATGTCAGAAATCAGTTTTAATTATTATTTCATGGTTTTTAATCTATTAATTTATTGCGTCTTAGGTAATGACAGTACTGAAAATAAATTACTTTGTTTACTTATAAAATTCTCTGTTGTTCAGTCATAGGCTACTTTCTCTGATGTGCAATGGTAGTGGTAATTTGCTATAAAATAAGAAGTATCTAAGGGAAAATAAATAAAAAACCCCAACAAAACCAAAACCCAAGCCTTGCAGTGTTTAAATCACGCTTTAAGCGAACACTGGAATTCTGCCTTGAGTATTTTATCCAAGCAAGGGCTGAATTGCAGTATTTACCTTTCCTGTGCTGTGGCTTGCCAAAGAATTTTGCACTTTGTCCTTGTATAAAGTCATGGTGATGCCAGTGGGCCATGTGTGCTAAGCCACACAGAGCTGGGACTGGGTTTAGAGCAGATCTCTGGCTCTGCCCCTGTGTCTCCTGCTACTCCTCTCTGATATTTGTCTTTGGAAACATCAATTCTGTTGGAATAACAGCCCAGCACTGAGTGTATCTGATAAGAATTTACTTCCACCTCAAAAAGGTGAAGATGTGGAAACTTTGGGCAAAATGTTCAGCAGGTGCCTTTTGATGGATCTGTCTTTTTACATCACCTGATGTTTTCTATATTGTCTTCAGTGAAGAGAAATGGATGGAATTCTCAAAAATCACCAGTGTGGCAGCTGAAGGCTCGATTCATGGATTTTACTGACTTCAGCTGATATCCATTCCCGTATAGGAAATGATTCTCTTCGATTCAGTAGATTTCCAGGTAGGTTGACTTGTCTGAGTCCTTCCAGTTTTTAACCTCTGTGTTTATTTGGTCATTTTGCCTGAGGTGTTCAGCAGCTCAGAATGCTGGAGATACGTGATCCCCAGTTAAAGGTTTGCTGTGTCTTTGAAAGCTGCTTTGCTCTCTTCTTCCTTCCTCAGCTGCATGTAAAACATTCCCCAGATGATGTAGTGCCTCATTTTGGTGTTTGTGAGCCAGACTGGAACTCACCTGTTTAAAAGGTGGCCCCCTCTTAGGATGTTAGCAATATTTTCTAAATAATTGTAGTAGTTAAAGTGCAAGTACAGTGTAATTAAGTAGAAATGTCACTTTACAGCATAGAATTTAAGACAGAGGCAAAGCTCCCACTCTGAAAAGAGCAGAGAGCATGAAATGCAGAGCTATTTAATTCAGTAGGAAAGGTTTACAACCCTCCCACTTTGAAATACAGAACAAAACTGTATTATTGGAATGGTAATACACAATACTTCTTAAAGCCAGAGGTGTCTAACCTTCTTTAAATATTCTTCAGAAGCAATCAGATGGCAAACACACATTTTCACAAAAGCAGTTTCTTTCACAAAGCAAGCAAGCTTTATAAAGCTGCTAAGCCTTATAAAATCTGTTATTACTTGTGTCCTTTATACTCTAGGTGTTTTAGCTTTTAAAGTGATATTATCAGTTTAATTAAAAACTTATCAAAGCCTACCTCTCACGCAGAAGCAATTCAGAAATTCCAAACACAAACATCTTACCGTGTAAATTAGATGCTAGAATCATATCAAACTGCAGGTATGTTAATTATTTAAGAAAAAAATAAATCTCCCGGGCATTTAATGAACTAGATAACCAGAGTACCTCGTTGTTAAAACTGGAAATGTCTTTGACCTCAGAGGGGATGGAAGCAGGTAATCCCTTTGGTGAAAGTCAGCTTTGATTTTTGTACTTAACCGTGTCTGGAAGCCTAAATCTTTTTCCTAGAAGGTGATACTAATTATGGGCTGCCATGACAAAAAGGCCATTGAGGCCTTCAGAAACATTCATCAACATTTAGAAGACTTTGGATCAGGTTTTCTGTTAAGGCCTGAGCTTCTGTAACTCCATTTGTGGAAGAACATACCTTTTTTCATTGTGGTTAGATTGAGCATCATGTTTTTTCCTATGAATATAATGGCTGAAAAGCAAGATCATCTTATATCTATACTACATTTATTCCTTCAATAAGGAACTTGGTTATGACTGAATTTTTAAAAAATGGTCCTTGTGGGGCTTCTTTTTTTCTCTTGTGGAGGTTTTTTTTTGTTTTCTTTTTTAAATTTTCTTTGAAGACCTTGTATTGCTCAGATGAGTGCTGCAGTATGGGCTGATGAATTCGACTGGTCCATCTTTCCCAGGGTGTACCTGCAGCAGAACACAGTCAGGAACTTTACTGACAGGTGATCAGTAACTCTGCTATTTTAAAAAAAGTCTATTTTGGGTAAGGTTGTCACTGTTACGTGGTGCTGCCAAGTCTTGGTGGGTGTAGGGTGAAAAATGCATTTTTTTCTGTGAATTCTGGCATTACAAAACATGTCAGGCCCTTGACAATTATCTGAAAGCATTTTCTAAGGTCATTATGCCCTAGGTAGAACTTAGTGTGCTGAAAACTCCTGGGAACAAAAGTCCTGTCTGGAACTTGCTAAATAGGTAAAATCAGCTTGCAAATATTGCTCCTTTTAAGTAGGTTGTTAACAATATGTTGATGGACATCCATATTTATTTTAATAAGTCTATTTTCAAGGGACTAAAGTAATCTCAAGCCTTTCTTTAGTTTACTCTATACAGGAATCCTGATCATTGTTATTTATTGTGGCAAATTACCCAGACAAGGTCAACAAGCAGATATTTAAACCTTTCCCTCTTCCTGACATGGCATCATAGTTCAGAGTAAATAAGGATAATATTATTTTAATAATTAAAATTTACACTTTAGGCTGTATTTTTTTAGACTGAATTATTTTAGACTGGCTGTGTTTTTTAAACTGGATTATTTATTTTAAAAAAACAGTGTAAATAACGTGCATATTTGAGTGTTTAGAGTCCAGACAACAACCTGCATGTAGATACTATAGCAATCCAGTTTTTCAGAGAAAAATCTCATATTGATGTAAATTTCCACAGGTTCAGTGGCATAAGAGGTGTGCCCCATCTGAAGATGTCTCTGTGGTTTTGGCTTGGGGTTTGTTTTTTTGTTTGTTTGGTTTGGTTTTGGTTGTTTGGGGTTTCTTTTGATTAGTTTTGTGTGTGTTTGTTTGTTTAGTGTTTTTTTTTTGTTTTGCTTTTCTTTTTTATTTGCATTTTTTGGGGGATTTATAGGTTTTCTTGGGAAGCTGGTTGGTGAAACTGAAGGCTTGCCTGGTTTAATATAAGAATGGAGTGTTTAGAAGTATAAACATAGGATGTATGAAATCACTGAGTTATTTTAAATTTTGAGTTATTTTTGAAAATTAAAGGTATTGTGTGGGTCTTTGGATGTTTGTGGATTATTGATTTCTCAGCACCCAATTGTAAACAAATATATGAGCAGGTGGAAACAATGCAGGGGGTTGCTGTAGTATCAATGCACTAAAGGTACATTATATATCTCTTTGCTTTCAAGATATTTCAGTTTTTAGTGCCTTGGAGTAGATTGAAAGTTTACTGCTGTGTTTTTTGAGGTGTGTTAGGAGGATTTTTTGGTAGGGTTTTTTTATGCCTTTGATGCATAACAAATTGCTAATTCGCTTTCACAATAATCTCCTATATTTTTGCAAATCCTATCTAGCATTGTGATTAAATATTTTTGTTAATACCAACTTGAGATAAGGGGATTGGATTTAGCATGTCCAGAATCCTCTGGAGGCCATGGTTGCTGCTAGAGATGTGTTGTGGACCTAAAAACAAGTTGTTTCACAGTCGAATTGTCTGGGTTTCAGCTGTAAACCCAGGCAAGCTGAGTGCAGCTGAATTTCTTGGGGGGTCTAAAGCCTTTAGGTTATTGTATGCACAGCTCAGACCTCACAGCAAGCTGGGAGGGTGGCAGGAGGCTCTTACAAAATGGGTTGTCAGGGCACAAAACTCCATGGTATAAAAAGGAAATACTGACTAGATGATTATTAGGATGGAATAATTTTGCCTGGGTCTAAGGCAGAGCTGTTTTTCTTCTGCCATTCCTAGGAAATTCTAAGAATCAGAGGAAAATCATTGATACCAGAGGTGCCACAATACCTTTATTTATTTTTTTTACATGTGCATTCTTAATAGTTTTTCACCAACCCAGTCCTCTTGCCAACCTGATAATACACTTTCACAGGGTGGTGCATTATTCTGGGCAATTTTGATACTGCTGATGAAAACCCAAACACTTTCAGATTTGTAACAAAGGGTAGTTCCTAGCTGATATCCTCACACTCACTTCCATTGTTGTTGTTCTAAAAGTGTGCTTTCTTTCACTGTGTTGTTTTAAAATGAGCATGTGGTGTACTCTTGAATGCTTGGTGGAGGAAGAAGAAAGGATTTTCCTAATGGTTCAACAAGAGCACTTGGTAAATAATTTATCATCATCAAGTGCCAGCTTTATCTGAAAGCTGACAGGTCTTTCTTTTATGATTCAGTGGTGTCTGTGCTGACCTGCTGTACACGCTGCCCATCAGTGTTTTAAATCTGTTCTGGTGTTATCCAGCCCCTGTTACACTGATCCACTCCCTTTTATGCTTTATAAAGCATCTACTGATATTTATGAGGTATGTGTTAGCAAACGTAAGAGTAAGTATTTTAAGGCTCATTAATATTTTAAGTACAGAAATACAACTTCTGTATTTGTGTGTGTGGCAGACGTCTTGTTTTATGAGAACTGTAAGAAAGTGATTTTGCTTATTGATTGACATTATCAGGCAGTCAGGCAGACACTCCAGCAGGTGGAATCACCTTTTTGTGTTGATGTCTGCCAGAAGTTAACAGCAAATGTGATGCCCTTTCTGCCAGTGAGAGCTAATGTGCACAGAGGTAATGGGTTTTAAAAATGCTGCAAACCTTAATGGTGTGAGATCAATATTCCTGCTGCTATGGGTAAAATGCTACTGCATATATTATTAAGACCTTCTTCAAAATTGAATTACTTGAAGCACTTTTGGACTGTTAGAGGATTCAGTATTTATCTTCACAATAAAATACTAATGGACTTGTGTTTGGGGAAATAATATTAATATTTTTTCCTCTTGCTTAGAAATAGGGAAACTTATTTTTTGAAAGTAGAGGTGAACACAGCGTTACCCCCAAATCTATCAGTTTCCCTGCTGCAGGGCAATGTTTGAGACTGGGGGAAAGTTAAATTAGCTGGTAGAGGAGCTCGACAATTTTCCAAGGATTACATATCTGCCTATGTGTATTTTTGTCTCCTGGAAAGGGAATGAGCAGGAGAGCTGTGGTTTGTTCTCCCAGCAGAATGTTCATAACCCCAGTGCCAAGGGGGCAGCTCCCCAGTGAGGCCTCAGGAGTGCTCCAGGCTTTGAGACCTCGGATATTTTCCAAGCCCCAGTGTTGGAATATTAATGTGTGTGTGTGACTCTGAGGTTACGTGTGTTAAGTGCAAAGCATATAATAGCTCCTCACAGTGAATCTTTTTTTTTTTGCATTTCTTATCTCAAGAATGTTCTCATGTATTCTGCAGATTATCCTGTCAAGATTTAAACTGGGTCATACTACCTGCTCTCATTTAACTATTTGTTTGGAATTGGTGTTCAGACAGATTCTGGGGGTTTTGCTTTCCTGATGGTTTCCCCAAGGCAGCCAGGGGAAGCCAGTCAAAGTGAAAAAGGAGGTTTTTAGTTAGACAATCACTGGTAAAAAAAAGAGGGGTGGTTTAAATATTTCACCAAGAAATAAACAGAACTGGCTTTGACTCGGGTTGAACTGAGTTACCACTGAACCATGTTACAAATCTGTAAATATTAATTGCAATGAAAAATCTGCTTCTTAGTGTT